GCTCCACCACTAGTGTCCTCTCCTCTGAGTGCATAGTGCCATTGCCTCCTCTCCCCCAACCCTGCCCCAAGTACCCAAGCTGGAGACAGTAGTCAGTTATCCTCGGTTCTCCTTGTCACATCCTATAATAGATAGGGTTTTTATCAAGAAGAGCAGAAGGAGGGAGGTTTTGTTCTTTCTCTTTCAGAATCTGCCCTGTGTTTTATCTCTGTTTAATCTCATTGCATCTTGCGATTATTGCATCTGCCAAGAAGCTTTGCAAATGTTTCAGATGCACTGCATGCTGCCAGCATTTTAGGGTCAAGCTTCCTTCTTAAATTTCAGTGTGATTGTCCCAAGACTAGCATGCACACACTGAAACAAGACACTTAGAAATCCTAGGTAACCGACAGAGGAAAAGGTAGAATAAACACTGCATCTCCAACTATCTAGTTATGTCCTCATTATAGGCTGTTATTTAAAAAAAAAAAGTGTCTAGCTGGCCTAATCCTTAGATAAGGGAATAGAGAATATTAGGATAGGAATTATCTGTCTTGCAAATTTCTGACCATGATAAGAAAAGGGAGTGGAGGAAGGCCAGAGCATGTTTAAAATCCTTTTTTTTAAAAAGCTAATGAATGATTATTCCTATTGTATATCTTCTTTAGAAGTGGCCATTTTTTTTTTATATTAAATGTAATTTATTGTCAAATTGGTTTCCATACAACACCCAGTGCTCATCCCAACAGGTGCCTTCCTCAATGTCCATCACCCACTTTCCCCTCTCCCCCACCCCCCATCAACCCTCAGTCTGTTCTCAGTATTTAAGAGTCTCTTATGGTTTGCCTCCCTCCCTCTCTTTAACTTCCCCCACCTTCCCCTCCCCTGTGATTCTCTGTTAAGTTTCTCAGGATCCACATATGAGTGAAAACATATGGTATCTGTCTTTCTCTGCCTGACTTATTTTACTTAGCATAATACCCTCCAGTTCCATCCATGTTGCTACACATGGCCATATTTCATTCTTTCTCATTGCCAAGTAGTAGTCCATTGTGTATATAAACCACATCTTCTTTATCGATTCGTCAGTTGATGGACATTTAGGCTCTTTCCATAATTTGGCTATTGTTGAAAGTGCTGCTGTAAACATTGGGGTACAAGTGTAGAAGTGGCCATTTTGATACCAGAGTGAAAATTTCAACCCCCAGGGTGTAGTGAGACACTCACTGCCATGGTGGCATTCTAGGCTGTCGGTGTTTGGTTGCTAGTACACCTGGGAGGCCGATGTCACAGGCTTTATGCTTGGGTACGTAGAGATCTATTTCCACATGAATGTGATTTTTCTTTGGCTGTGATTCTTTACTTTTTGTGGCTTTCAATCCTTTTCTCCCCCAGTATTTCTAAAATTAAAATATCTTAATTTTTTGAGTTATAAAAGATGGTAACTACAAAAAATATTTAGTGAGTACAAAAAAGTAGAAAGGAGAAAATAAAAATCGTTGTGATTCCATTGATCAGAAATAAATACCATTAACACTGTAGAGTTATGGCTCCTTCCAATCTTTCCTATATCTACAGGCATATATACATATATGTATATTTTTAAATAGGGTTATATGATACCTGGTGTTTTTTTCCTAACCAGCTTGCTCACGGAATTTAGCACTATGGGAACCACTCTCTTTTGCACATCATCTGTTGCCAATAACAAATGTGTGTTTTAATGTTTACTGAATTGATTCATTCAGTACTAACTTGCCACAATTGCACTTACAGGGATATTTTATTATATGAGCAATCCAAAAGAATATTTGAAATTGAGACTATCCTGGAGAATCTAGGGCATGTGGTGATCCTGTGTCCTCCTGTGGACTGTGATGGCCGCTGTTCCTTCTCCTCAGGGGGTGTGTGCGTGCGTGTGTGTGCGTGTGCGTGTGCGTGTGTGTGTGTGTGTGTGTGTGTGTGTGTGTGTGTAAGACTGTGTTTCAAGCCCCTTGATATTCCTGGAACACCTGGAACCCTACTACTTCTTCCCAAAGTGTCTGACCCCTCCTGCTGTCCTTTAGTGTCAGTGACCTTCTGCTCTTTGTCTCTGAGTGAGTGTGCTCTTCTGCAATTCTAGGCTCCGAGTTTCTGAATGCCCCCATTAATTTCTTAGAAACTTTGCGGACCTTTTACCTCCATCCACTGCTGGGTCCCTGAAAATCATTTATGACTGTTGCTCCCCATCCCCCCCAACCCCCACACCAAATCATGCTCCTAAATATTCGTAACTGTCTCTTCCACACATCTCCCTCAATTCTCAGGGCATCCATGACACAGCTTCTGCTAGGGTTTTAAGTTTTATAGTGTTTTGTGTACAATGCTTGTAGGGAGATTTTTCATTGTAGCTCTGGTTTCTGTATCAACTTTCCCCCCCCGTCTTGGAAGTACAGAAGATTGGCTTGTTTGCTCCTCCATGTACTGCCAGACTATGTCCCTAACCTGGTTTTCTCCTTCCTGAAATGCTCTGGGAGGGAATGGGGTGCCATTTTGTGGTCCACATAAGGAACCACAACTCAACATGCACTGAATGCCGGCCATGTGCCAGGCCTATGTGTGGCTCTATGTTTGTGTTGCATTTAACCCTCAGTGCCGCTGAGTGGAGGGCCTTATTATCTCTATGCTGTATTTGCGGTACCTGAATCTAATTTGCCCAAGATCATACTACTTGTAAGTATTTAGGGTCCAAAGCCAAGCCTTCTGAGCTCCAAGATGTTGGGACTTTTTCCACTGCCCTCAGAGGGTTTCCAACTCTTTTTGCTTTGTATAAAGTATTTTTGAAAATAGGGTTATTTTTCCAGTGCCTGAGACATGCAACTTTGCTCAAGCATCTGTGACCCTAGGATGATTGTGCTTTCCCCAGAGTGGCCCTACTCACTACTGCTTCCTTCAAGGTGCGTGAGCCCTCATAGCTCTTGCTGGGCTTTCCATGCACTGGCTTCTAAAACACCAGCCTCTCTTGCTTCTCTAGCCTCTCTCTGACTTGATTTTCCTAGTTGTCTTCATGTAGCTTCTCCCCTTAAATGGTGGTATTCCCAGGGATCTCTTCTCACTTTCTCTTTCTCCCTGGCTGTCATATTCATGGCATGGCTTCAGCCCAGTTCCCAAGTTGCCTACTGGCCCTGTTGTGTAGGCCCTTCTGTTTGATTGCCTTCCAGGATCTCTGACCAGATGTCCTGAGGAGACTGCAACCTTAGCACGTTCTACATCTGAAGTTGCTTCCTCCCCAACTACCTCCTTTATGGGTCTTCTCCTATCATTACTTGCCTTTGCTCATGGTATCACCCTGTGCTGTCATTCATCGTATAAGCTGGAGACCTTAAAGACATTATTTTGTTCCATTCTTTCACATCTCATATTCAACTGATTTTCAAATCTTGTTAATGGATTCTGCCTCAGAAATATCTCCCCAGTCAACCCTTTTATTCCCCCTCTGCTGCTACCTTAGTTCCGCCCCTCCACTCTTGCCTGGATTGTGTGAATGGCCTTTTAACTAGCACTGTCTTCTTAACACCCTGGACTGATTATGTCACTCTCTTCCTCAAGAAAACCTGCAGCTGTACTCTTCCCTGTAGGATAAAGTCCACATTGCCAGGCATGGCAGAGCAGATTCTTATAATTGGGTGCCCATCTTTTCACCTGCAGCTTATCTCTGCTCACTAGTCTCACAGCCCCCTGGGCCCTGCCAGAGCTGCAGCCACGGGGAGTGCCCATATCCCTGAACATGGCTCCTCTTGTCGCCACCTGCCTGTCTTCCTCCCTGAAGTCTTTCCATCTGGCAGATTGCTCATTCCTCAGCCCCAGCTCAGATGTCACCTCTTGGATGCTGTTCCCCCCGTTAGATGTGTCTGGGTTCTCCTCCGTGTTCCCCTCCACATCTGTTAGTCCACGCCTCCTGGAATCTGATCACGTTTGTCTTCTAGACTCAAACGGGAGTTCTTGGGGGCAGCAATGTGCTTGACACCTGGCACAGTGGCTTCTGTGCAGTAGGTGGTGAAGGAAAATGCCACTCTGTCCTGTCCAGAGCTTCTGTGATACTTGAAACTTCTCCAAGGGGTCATGACCTTCTTTTACCCCTGGAGCAATTTTCTCCCAGTCTGTCTGAGCCTTGTCTGTGTTACAGGGTGGCTATGGTTGTCCCACATTCCGCCCACAGGGCTGCACCTCCCCTTCCTTCAGAGTGTGTGATTTCTCTCCCCTCCAGTCCTCACCGTCTGTAGGGCGCCTCTGCCCCGGCACTGTACCAGGAGGAACGAGCTGATTCCTCATTGCTTTCTCTGGCTGGCCATGCAGTATTCATTAATCCCCCAGGCTGCTGTTTCCCAAAGTGAGGTTTCTCAAAGTGAAGTTACACATTAGGGTAACTCCTACTGCTTGTTTGAAACTAGTTCTTGGGCCATCCCCTAACACTACTAAGTGAGAATTTCTGGGCACAGGGCCCAGGAATCTATGTTTCGATCAATTCCCCAAGTGATGCTGGTATACCCTAAAGCTGTGACTTTTTCCAGAACAATGTCCACCCCCAATCAGAAAGAAGACTAGTTCTGTCAGACATTTACCAGAGGGGGAGAGCGAAAGTAAGACTGGGCATACTGCAAAGCAAACCCCCTTCCTGGAGAGTCATAGTATAATTAGTACATTATGGGATAGAAGCATACTGAAAACACTGACAACAGCAAACAAACCAACAGACAAAAAAGCCCAATTTGCACAAAGGCAGCCTTTATTTTTCCTTCCTGCACATTAACGTTCCAACAGGTTTCCCTTAACGCATGTTGCCTTTACTGCCCCAGAGCATTTTATGTCTATGTGGATTTTAAGTGAGATGTTGCCTGTCAGGTGCTTAGCAGTGCCTGCCATATCATGGGCGCTCAGCTCCTAGGGTTCCTGCCCCCTGCTTTATCCTCTGTGCTGCCTACAACCCCTTTTGCTTCCCTCAGTCATCTCTGACAGCTCATCTCCTCCCTGTCGCCCTGCAGGGGGGGTCCTCTATGCTGCCACTGTGAAAAACTACTTGGGGACGGAGCCGATTATCTCCCGGGCTGTGGGTCGCGCTGAGGACTGGATTCGGACAGAGACCTTGCCATCCTGGCTTAACGGTGGGGAGAGGGGGCAGGGTGCATGAGGGACAGAGCTGGCTGAGGCCGGGTGGCCCCAGGCTGTGTCTGGTATCTGAAGCCACTGGTCTCCCCAGCCCCAGCCTTTGTTGCAGCCGTGGCCTTGAGCCCAGCCGACTGGGGAGATGAAGACGGAGATGATGAGATCTACTTCTTCTTTACGGAGACTTCCCGAGCATTTGACTCGTATGAGCGCATTAAGGTCCCACGGGTGGCCCGTGTGTGTGCGGTAAGACCACCGTCCCGACTGTCTGTCTGTTATCTTCTGCTCTGTCTGTCCTCTTGTCTTTTCCTTTCTGGGCCCCTGTTTTTGCATCTCTCCTCTGTCTCCTTTTTTCCCTCTGCCTTGACTCCTTTTCTGGGAGTTGGGGGGTGTGGGGAAAGGGCTCTGGCTTTTCACCCCCATAATTACCATTGTGACACACTGTCCCCAGGAGGTGGACTAGTGGAGAGGTAAAGGCAGGAACTGCAAATAGAGAGTCCTGGGTTCAAGTGCTAGGTCCACCAGTTCCTGCCTCTGTGACTCTAGGCAGGTTTATTAGCATCTTTGAACCTCCTTTGTAAGGTAGAGTATTAATGACCTCTAGCTATAAGGGTTGTATAAAGCATGTAGGACAGTATTTCAAAAGTGCACAATGAACTTAGTCACCATCATTGTTATTGTGACCTTTTTCGCCCTGTATCTCATTATCCCATGCAGTGCTCTGTATCATCATCCTTGCATTTCTGTGCATCTGTCTTCTCATCTGTCTGTGTCTGCCCTGAAGACAGGGGAAACCTATACTGGTGTCCACAATGTTGGCCCTCTAAGGCCACACACAATGTGGCCTTCCCATAATGTTGGCCTTCTAAGAAGAACTTCCCATGTGCTCACCCAGGGGGACCTTGGGGGCCGGAAGACCCTCCAGCACAGATGGACAACATTTCTGAAGGCTGACCTGCTATGTCCAGGGCCTGAGCATGGCCGGGCCTCCAGTGTCCTGCAGGACATGGCCATTCTTCGACCTGAGCATGGATCGGGGACCCTCATCTTTTATGGCATCTTTTCCTCCCAGTGGTGAGGAGGTCCTGGTGTGGAGGAGAGCTACAGGGTGGGAGAGACATGGGGATGGGTAGGCTCTCCCTGGAGCCCTGTTCCTTCTGCCCTGGAGCAGGATGCATGGCTCCCTGGGTCATGGTCCCTGCATTTCTCCTGGGTCATCTCGGGATGAGTTGCTGATTCCCAGTTCCCTCTAGATATGTGGCTCCAACCTGTGCTCTTACAGGGAGGGGGCTGCCATCTCTGCTGTCTGTGCCTTTCTACCACAAGACATTCGGACAGTGCTGAATGGTCCCTTCAGAGAGTTGAAACATGACTGCAACAGGGGACTGCCTGTCATGGACAATGACGTACCCCAGCCCAGACCTGGAGAGGTGAGGGGGCTGAGGCATCTCTTCCCTTCACACCTGAATTGCTGCATGAGAGAAAGGGCCCAAGTAAGCATCACGGAGACTTCCTGGCCCCTGGGAAACTGTCACCCATCCTGTGTTTCCTCTAGTGCATCGCCAACAACATGAAACTCCAGCAGTTTGGCTCATCACTTTCCCTGCCTGACCGTGTGCTCACCTTCATCCGGGACCACCCACTCATGGACAGGCCGGTGTTTCCCGCCGATGGTCATCCCCTGCTCGTCACTACAGATACAGCCTATCTCAGAATTGTGGCCCACAGGGTGACCAGCCTCTCAGGGAAAGAGTACGATGTGCTCTACCTGGGGACAGGTACATTTCATAGTCAAGTGAGTTGCCCATCCAGTGCACACATGCCCCTGTCACAGAGAGGGTCCCATACATATAGGTGTCAGAGTCCCAGGCACAGGTATAGCTGTCATTGTGTCTTGCCCCTTGCCTGCTTCCTAGAGGATGGACACCTCCACCGAGCAGTGCAGATTGGAGCCCAGCTCAGCGTCCTGGAGGATCTGGCCTTATTCTCTGAGCCACAGCCAATTGAGAGCATGAAATTGTATCAAGTGAGTTGTAGATTTTGGGGAGTTTGCTGGGGGGACAGCTGAGCCCAGATCCAGTTGGTTACCCTGAAGTCTGAGAGATCCAGCATGTTCTTCTTCCTCACTGCTTTTCTGTAGAACTGGCTCCTGGTGGGCTCCCATACTGAGGTGACACAAGTGAACACAACCAACTGTGGCCGTCTCCAGAGCTGCTCAGAGTGCATCCTGGCCCAAGACCCTGTGTGTGCCTGGAGCTTCCGGCTGGATGCGTGTGTGGCCCATGCTGGGGAGCATGGAGGGTGAGTGTCACTGCACTGGTCTCCTGCCTGCCGTTTCAGGGTACTGGCCCATCCACATGTTTATGTCTGTTTCTCATCTGTTAATGCTGCCCTACGTGTGTGTGTGTGTGTGTGTGTGTGTGTGTGTGTGTGTGTGTGTATTCTGTTTGTGTCACTTGTGTGTCCATCTGTCAGTCCCATACTGATTCATGTGTCTGTCCATCTGATGCTGCCTCATCAATGTCCTTGCCTCTTGCGCTGACCTTGATCAACCTCCAGGTTGCCACACACTTCTCGGTTTTTATTTTACAAGAGCACTCAGAAGTGTTTTCACAGTTGACTCCTCCTTCTTTCCTTCCTCGTGCCTTCTATGACTCTGCATTCTCCTGGGCTTCCTCCCTCTCCTACCAGTCTGTGTCCCTTACTGATTCCTTTTCTATCCCACTTCTGAATGTTGATATTTCTCAGGGTTCAGTCCTTCTCTTTACACTTCTGCACACTCTCTAGGTGATTTCATTCCCATTATCTTCAACACCAACTGCTGGCACTGAGTGCCAGTGACAACTACAGATGAGCCTTTAGTTGAGCTACGGAATTCCCTATCTAACCACCTACTTGATCTTCCTTTTGGATGCTTCACAAGCAACTCAAGCTTAGCAAGTTTTAGCATGCACTGTTGTTTCTTCTTTCCTTCACATGCTCCTCCCATGGTTTTCCTCATCTTGAGAATGGGATCTCCATCCTTCCAATTTCTCCAGCCAGACTTGCCTGCACTGTATTATAGTTTGTACTCTAGCTCCACCTGTGATTTCCTCAGTTCACAGCCACTTCTCTCCATCTCTGCCACTATCACCCTAGTCCAAGCCATCGTCACTTCTTGACCGGGTTATTCTAATAACCCCTTAATTGGTCTCCTTTTGACCATTGGGGGATCCTACCATCTATTTTCCCTTTAGCAGATAGTTTAAAATCATATGTCACATTGAAGCAAATCCCTGGCATAATATTCATAAAATATTTCAATATGTGTCTCTACCAGATAAGGACTCTCTTAGAAACATTTTATTATTGGGAATTTCAAACATTCAAAAACAGAATAACATAATGAATTCCCATCATCTGTTGCTCAGCTGCAACAACTATCAATTCTTTGGCCAATCTTGCTTCATCAATACCCTCACTCACTCCCAGTTATTTTACAGCAAATCTCAAACATCATGTCACTTTATCCATATATCTTGCAGAGTATGTCTTTAACACAGAAGGAATTAAAAAAAAATAAGCGTATTATCATTATAGTACCATAAACTTAATGTCATGAAACATCCCATCAGTGTTCCAATTTCCTCAAGTGGGTAGACTTAAAAATAGTTGCTTAAGTTAGGATTCAAATAATGTCCATCAATTGCAATCGATTGAGGTGTTTCTTTTCTTTTTTAAAAAAATTTATTTATTTATTTTTGAGAGAGAGAACGCACATGTGACAGGGGCAGAGAGAGAGGGAGACAGAGAATCCCAAGCAGGATCCATGCTGTCAGCACAGAGCCCGACTTGGGGCTGGATCCCATGAACCATGGGATCATGACCTAGGCCAAAATCAAGAGTTGAGTGCTTAACCAATTGAGTCACCCAGGCGTCCTGATTGATGTGTTTCATAAGACTTTAATTTTTTTTTAATGTTTATTTATACTTTTAGAGACAGACACAGCATGAGTGGGGCAGGGGGAGAGAGAGAGGGAGACACAGAATCCAAAGCAGGCTCCAGGCTCTGAGTTGTCAGCACAGAGCCTGACAGGGGGCTTGAACTCACAAACCCTGAGATCATGACCTGAGCCAAAGTCGGAGGCTTAACTGACTGAGCCATCCAGGTGCCCCAAGACTTTCAATTTTTAAGTAAGATTCCCTTTAATGAAACATTTTTAATTGATTGCTTAGAAAGTATTTTTTCAAAACTGACTTTGAGATTTCCTATGTTGAAGCCCAGTTAATCTGCAGTATATTTGTATATATTGCTGAACTGTAAGGTTACCAGTATTTTAGAATTAAAAGTACTTGTTTTGGGGATCCGTTTTTCATTAACAACTTTGATCTGGTAGTTTCTCTTGGTAGAACTCTTAAATGTCTAAGACAAGGCCAGTGCTTCATTGTTTTAATATCCATTAAAATAAGAATTTCATTGTTCTTGGGTATACTGTGTACTTGAGCCTCAGGGTCCCCTTAAGATATAAATGTGTGTGGGGAATGTGGGGTATGTGTATATGCTAATATATTTCTTGTTAATACAAGAAATTACCAAGTTGGTGCCTGTATGCACTCTATGCTCCAAACCTCAATTCCTACAAGCAAGAAAGACTATGAAGTTCCTGTAGCTATAGCCCACATATGGCCTTCCCATGTTCCCCACTCTCAGCCAGACCAAGTGACCTTGGTTTTACCCAGAAGGTTGTAATGTATTCATACCAGTCTCGGAGCTCATTTCAGATGCCTTAATTCATGTTGAAGGAGTTCACACTCAAATGGAGCCTATCTTTGGTTGAGGCTTTTGGTTGCTCTCCACTGACAGCTTGATAGAGGTCTCCCTCTGGGGAGTGGTGAGGTTTTTGGAGTGAGCAGTCTATCCTGCTGTCCCTCTGTCAGACACAGTCCACCCACATCCTGGAAGTGCCAGGATTGTGTTGTTTGAAATATATCCATTAGAGGCTAATAGATATCAACAGTTGTTGGAGACAGAATGGTCCTACTTGGAGATGAACAGCTTTTATGAAACAAAAAGTCACATCACCGGCCCTCACAGAATTTTTAATGTTTATTTTTGAGAGGTGGGGGAGGGGCAGAGAGAGAGGGAGACACAGAATCCTAAGCGGACTCCAGGATCTGAGTTGCCAGCAAGGAGCCCAACGTGGGGCTTGAACTCACAAGCCATGACCCTCATAGAATTTTGATTAACTTGTATAGAAAAGAAGTTTTCTCTCTTAACAGAAAAAAAGTTAACTGTAGTTTTTATGGACTTCTTTTCCCCAGAGAAATCTTGTGGTTGTGGATACCCAGATAACATTTCTTAGAAGGTTCCCATGTGTTTTTTAAAAGCAACCTCCAAACACTTTTCCAGCACACCTAGTGCAAATTTAATTCCCTGTGGTCTTCTGGAAATATCTGTACAATTGGATGTGGCAAGTGTCATGAGGAGTAAAAGGGGTATCGGGGGAAATTTTATTGATGAAGAGGATGTTGACTGATAGTTTCAGGAGTGATTTGTGAGATGGTGGGAGCTGTAATCTCATTATGTTACTGAATGTTCGGTGGTACTGAGGAAGGTAGAAGGGGGTGTTGACACTGGATTTACCAAGTATTCTCTTCTATACAGGTTGGTCCAAGACATAGAGTCAGCGGATGTCTCTTCTTTGTGTCCCAAAGAGCCCGGAGGTCTGTATGGTTTAGGGAAATGTGGGTGGAGTGGGTGAAAACGGGCTAGAATGTTGTCCATTTTGGATCCGCTTTAAAAATTGGAAGATTGGGCAGCCGGTGACCCATGGCCCTACTTTTTATCTTTGTCCCCACGACCCCTTATATCTGATATCATGCCACATTTCTCTGCGTTACGTCCCAGCCGGTAGCATCACTACCTTTTGTGCCTTTGCTGTCTCTCTGCAGAACGCCCAGTAGTGTTTGAAGTTCCTGTGGCTACAGCTGCGCATGTGGTCTTGCCATGTTCCCCAAGTTCAGCATGGGCGTCCTGTGTGTGGCACCGGCCCAGTGGAGTGACTGCACTTACCCCCCGGCGAGATGGGCTGGAGGTGGTGGTAACCCCAGGAGCCATGGGTGCTTATGCCTGTGAATGTCAGGAGGGTGGGGCTGCCCGTGTGGTGGCTGCTTACAGCTTGGTATGGGGCAGCCAGCGGGGCCCCCCAAGTCAGGCCCACACAGTAGGGGCGGGACTGGCTGGCTTTGTCCTGGGGGTTCTTGCAGCATCCCTGACTCTCCTTCTGATTGGTCGGCGTCAGCAGCGACGGCGACAGAGGGAACTTCTGGCCAGAGACAAGGTGGGCTTGGACCTAGGGGCCCCACCATCTGGGACCACAAGCTACAGCCAGGACCCTCCCTCTCCTTCTCCTGAAGATGAGCGGCTGCCCCTGGCCCTGGCCAAGAGGAGCAGTGGCTTTGGTGGCTTCCCTCCCCCCTTCCTGCTTGATCCTTGCCCGAGCCCAGCCCACATTCGGCTCACCGGGGCTCCTCTAGCCACATGTGATGAAACATCCATCTAGGGCAAATGACCGCTAGTGCATTGGTAGCCCCTGGAGGGGAATGACCATTAAGATGCTGGGGGTAGTGGGCCTGGAAGACGGTCATGGCCTCTGGGTTCTCTTTTGGTCTTTGTGTAATCACTTAGACTTCGTGTCTGCCTACTCTGGGTTTGGCTGGGCTCTGGCCCAAGCCTGTGCTTGATTTCCTGATTGCCATGCGAGATCAGAGCTGCCTTCTCCAGCAAATCAGGACTTTTCCCATGCCTGCCCTCTGAACCGCTGCGACCCCTTCAGCCTTGGCCCCCCATCTTGGGCCCATTAGTTTGAGGATGGGGAACAGAACATAGCTATGACTTTGCCTTCTGGTGGGCCCTGGCCAGAAGGAAGGCCCCTAGAGGTGGTGTGGGGCTAGTGTGCATTGATCTTTTTGTTCATTCTCTTTAGTTTATTGGATTCTCTGTGGGGAGTGCATGATCCCCATGTCACAACATGAAATCTCTGCCCTGAGATGTCCCCCAACCGAGTTTTCCTTCTTCTGTAAAAGAGTGTGTGTGTATACACAGGTGTTCGTTGGAGGCCTGGCCACATGTGCATGAATGACTGGGCCAATGCTCAGGTGTACTCATGAGGGGTCAGGAGGGGAAGGTGGGAATGGAGGCATTGCCTGCAGAACTTCAGACCCTGCAGGCAGTGAAGGAATGGCTTTCCTTTCTAAAAGGAAACAAGCCACCACCCCATCCCCATCATCTCCTACAACCCTTCTCTTGAGTAGAGAAAAACTCCCCAAGTGACCTTTTGGGTGGGAAGGACAGCGGTACATGTGACCCCATCTTTCTCTTTGTTTTTGCCTCCTGGCTGCCACCACTGCCACGCACAGCTGTTCTTTTTCTGGCTGGAGTACAGGCTGGACCGCCTTCTTTGGCTCCCATTAAAAAAACTTCACAACATTCTAAGCGTAAGGGACAACAAAAGGGGAATAGTCATAGGAAGTAGAAGTTGCAAAAAAATAGGTTTGTATCCGTGACTTTACTCAGGTTGACACCCTCGCCCTAAATCAGAAGTTCTCCACCTGGGGTCCATGGACTCCCTGAAATCATATGCAAAATGTTGTCTGTACCTGTGAGTCTGTGTTTTTATGGGGGTGGGGGGTTATGGCTTTCATCAGATTCTCAAGGCCTTAACAAAGTTAAAGGACCACGCCTCGAGGTTGCCACACATTGGCCAAGCTGAGGGGTGCCACACAGCGGCAGCTCTTCCTGCCCCACCATCCCTTCCCTGTGGCCCGCCCTGGACTTGCAGCTGCTGGATGCCCTCTTGTTTCTCCCATCCCTGGAAACTGGGCTCTGTGTGTATTTGAAGATACTGTCAACTCCTACCAAACATAAAGACCTCTTCCTGCTTCACAGCTCCCAGATGCTCTAGGCTTCTCCTGCTCAGTCCTGGTCTTGGCCTGTGTATGTGCCTCGTTCATCCCTGGTGGGGGACCCCTTTGAGCTCCAGTGAATGATCCAGCCCTTCTCAGTTGAAGTTTCAACTCTACTTACCTTGGCAGCAGCCTGTGAACTACTCAAAAGAGTCCCCTTGGGTTTGGGATTATCAGTGGCTTTGCCACTAATAAGTGTATGATTTTCAGCAAGTAATCTAATATAGGAACATTGGTTTACTCATATGTAAAGTGGGGATAATAATACCTACCTCAGGGTTGCTGCAAGGATTAAATGGGGAAACATGTAAACAATAAAGCACTATCTATTCCAGTAGATGTTGTTATTATAAAAGTTGACCTATCGTGCCGTATTCATATAGCTTAACCATATGATAACCATGACACATGCCATCACTTTAAGCTCCATTCTGTGGAAGAAGGATCATTGCCTTACACAGACATCTTGTCCTGGATCGTCTCAGGCCAGATCTTAGCTGCTGGTGTCCAGGTTTTGGGAGGCAGGACTTGTAGTTTTTATAATCAGATGTGCCTGAGCTTAGTGACTTTATTAGTCCTATATGAGAATGGAAGAAGTCTTTGTGTTCTTGGGTTTATTCTCTTGAGATTATGGGTTTGTTCCATTTTGGGGGGAGGAGGAAAGGTGAGGAGATGTCAGAGGGGCCTGTGGTTTCTGTGAGGAGGTGGAGGGGACCAGATCACAGTAGCTTTGGGGCATTTGGTCCTTGGACAGTGGCTCTGATTGAGGGGAAACAAGAGGAGAAATGTAGGAAAAAATGAAGAAGAGGGAAATAGGCACGAAGGGAAAAGAGTCACCTCTTGGTGTAAAGTTCAAGCCCCAAGAATGAGTGATAGCACAGGAGTGTGGAGCCAACTCCCAAAGAAATAGTGTGAATAACTGCATGATCTTTTACCTGTGTGGGAAGGGAGAGGATCTGTCTGTGGATAAGAGGGCTCAAGAAAGATGCAGGGTTCCTGCATGGAGAATTGTGAGGATTCTGGATGCCAGAGACCTGCCTGGTTTCACACATTAAAGCAGCCATGGGGAGGGGGAGGGGGAGGGTTGGGCCTTGTGTTTGTGTTTACCTCCTGATTGCCCACTTTCTGGCCCTCACTCTTAAATTCCCCTCTGCTTTTGACTCTGTTCCCTGGTCCATAAATTGTGACTCTCATCTTGTCACCCCTACCCAGTGGTATGCTACCCACATGGTCTCACTGAAAGGAGAGTCAGAGAAGGATGCTTGCTGTTGGCTCTCACAAGCCAAGTGAGCTCCAGGGCACCACTGGCCCTAACCCAGCAGCAGGCAGACTCACTTCCTTTTCCAGGGGCCCTCCTTGTCCCCAGCAGCCCCACAACTTCACTGGTGGCTCAGTGATGGCAGTAAAGGGATTCTTTTGGTATCTGCTAGGCCCGGATCCTCGTGGCTACTGTGTCCCTGTCAGAGGGGGGCAGTCATGGCTACAAATGATGTTTCTTGCTCAACTGCACACAGACTGTGTCTCAAGGGTGTGGGGATAAGACTGGCCTTTTTGGGGCACCTGGGTGGCTTAAGCTTCTGACTCTTGGTTTCGGCTCAGGTTGTGATCTCATGGTTCGTGAGCTCGAGTTCTGCATCAGGCTCTGTGCTGACAGTGGGAGCCTGCTTGAGATTGTCTCTCCTCTCTCTGCCCTTCCTGCAAGCTCTCTCTCTCTCTTCTTACAAAATAAATAAACTTAAAAAAGGCATATGTGTGTGTGTGTGTGTGTGTGTGTGTATGGACTGGCCTTTTTGTTGTAACAAAGGCAAGGTTGGAATTTTTAAAAATCATCTTCACCAACTGAAGGAGAAACTAGCAATAAAAATAACAAGAAATAGTTCCACAGTTTTTACATGCAGACCCCTGGGGTGCCTGGGTGGCTCTGTTGATTAAGTGACCAACTTTGGCTCAGGTCATAATCTTGAGGTTTGAGTTTGAGCCCCGCGTCCGGCTTTGTGCTGTTAGCACAGAGATCCTCTTATCTCCCTCTCTTTCTGCCCTTCCCCCGCTTGTGCTCTCTCTTGCAAAAATAAATAAACGTTAAACAAACGATTAATAAAAATAAAAAGTAATAAATGCAGACCCCTGGTGGGGTCTAGGGAGAGGCCTCTGTGTGACATGGCAATTTGTGTGGCCAGTAGATAGCAGATGTGGTTCCAGAGAGGTCCATCTGGATTGATGTAAAACACCAGGTCCTGGTTGAGGTAGGGAAGGGCAAGCAACAGAATGATCTAGCTCCCCTGGGATGTTAGATGAAGCCAGGTATGGTTGGAAGGGTACAGGTAAGAGATCAGTTTCAGGGAGCTACTCCAGGCTCTGTGGAGAAATTAGCACAAGCCAGGAACTCTCTGCCCCTCTCTTTTTCAAAGACTCACAGCCATGGGACTAGTTTTCCCTAGGCCTAATGGGCCTGGGGTTTAGGTGAATCCCAGGCCTGCCCACTGGCGGGTGTGGTACTCCTCATTACATCACAGTTGGCAGCCCTCTCGTGAACTCCAAGGCTTGGCAGACCACAAGCTAAGCGCTTTCACCACCTGCAGTTGGAGCCCTGGAGCAGGAGGAATCAGCAACTGGTACTGGACTCAAAGACCCATGTGCCACCCTCAAGTTCACACAAGGACTTGGAGTTGAGGCTGGGAATAAAATCCTCTCAGGACTGGGTTCACCCCAGGAGTTCTCTGAGGGTTAAGTATTGAAGAGGAGGCTGGTTAGACCTTTCTGGTAGTGGCTGAGGTAGAGAACTCATGGGGAAAGTCCAGGCCTCAGGCCTTGGTGGACATACTTTGTATCTGTCAGCCCAGGGGTTCTGGTCAGTCCCACATGCATTCGTTCACTGAAATTCTCCCCTGCAAGCCCAAGAATGCAAAGACTTGGCACCCATTCCCAAGACTCCCCTTTTAAGACACATGTAATTGTGCATGATAGGTAAGCTCCTGTTCCTTCCTCTAGAAGAAGTGAGGAGGCAGAAGTGGCCCTTCCCTGAGGTGAGGATGGGGATGGCTGTTTTATTCTTTTAGTGATGTAGACCCGTACCCTGCTTCCATGCAGCTTCTCCAGGAGTGACACAAGCTCTGGAGGGATCTAAAGTATGAATGTTGGAGACAGTCTTGGCCTTGAGGTTATGGGGAAGTGTCCCCATGTTTGGTGTAGAAGTTTTGTCTCTGTCAGCTCAGATTGTGAGCTGCTCATCACTGAGCATAGGAACTGGAGACTCCTGCCTTTTGCTGGGCGCCACACTGAGTTCCCTGAATTCATGCTCAATTCTCGAGAGAAGGATGGCCACCCTCAAGATGGCTGAGATAGACTATTTTCCCCCAGAAGTGACAGAGAGCTGAGGACCAGTTAATTTGCTGTGTAGAAATAGAGTAATATTTTTCTCACCTGTGAGTTTGTGGAGAAAACTTCATGCCTGTTGTAATGAATAGCAGCATTTTTAACCCTGGCCGAGTCCAGAGTGCCTGCATTATGAACTGGCCTAGAGAGTGAGAGAGCAGAATGGAGTGTGGACAGGGTAGAGCTGAGTGAACACTAGGTGTCTGAAGTGAAGAAAGAGGGCCTTCCTCCATCCTTTTGTAGGAGACATTCCCCCTCAGATAGCCTCTCCTCATACATATCCACAAAATCAATCTTTTGTCAGACTCAAAACCTATTATCTCTCAAATTTACTGGATTTAGGCAACTTATGGTTTCATCATAACATGATAGCTCATCACAAGTTGTGATCACCTTGTAATTCCTGAGTGAACATCCTGAAAAGAAGGGAACATGAACTTATGGGTCCTAGTTGAGAAACCAATGCCACCTCTACACACGTTTATGATAAACTGCCATTAGGAGTTTTGATAGATATGTTCTTATTCTTGTAGGCATTTATTGCTGTGTTGGTCAGGACAGGCTTTGTTATGATGCAGTAACAAACAGCCCTATACTCTTAGTGGCTTAAAGCAACATATTTATTTCTTACAATGCTTGAAGGAAATTGTGACACATGCTGCAAGGATAAACCTTGAGGACATGATGAGAAGGTGACCAGGGGCCGGGGGTGAGGAGAACGGGGAGCGATTGTTTAATGGGGACAGAGTTTCAGTTTTACAAGGTTTTACAAAAAAAGTTTCGCAAAAGAGTTCTGGAGACAGATGGTGCTGATGGTTGCATAACAGTATGAATGTATTTAAAGGTGGTTAAGATGGTAAGTTTTACGTTATGTGGATTTTATCACAATAAAAATATTGGAAAAGAAAATGATTAAGACACAGTCCCTGCCTCCTTGAAACTCCTAATTCAGTGGAGAGGCAGACTAGTGAGCAGAGAACAACACATTTTGAAAAGCACTGCTGTCAAAACAAATGAGCATAAGGGAAGGGAAAAAAAATAATATAAAAACAGGGAGGGGGACAAAACAGAAGAGACTCATAAATATGGAGAACAAATTGAGGGTTACTGGAGGGGTTATGGGAGGGGGGGATGGGCTAAATGGGTAAGGGGCACTAAGGAATCTACTCCTGAAATCATTGGTGCACTATATGCTAACTAATTTGATGTAAATTTAAAAAAATAAAAAATAAAACAAGTTAAAAAAGAAAAGAAAAGAAAAGAAAAGCACTGCTGTCAGAGTGTGTCCCAAATCTCAAGGAACCCAAAGATGCCCCTTTCTGTATATATGTCTTCTTAACTGGAAGTTTGAGAAACAGACTTGAGATATCAACAAAAGGCTTTGTGCCCCCTGACTGGACTTCCCTGAAATAACTGAGACAGTCTAGCATAGTGTAGTCTAGTGAGACCTATGTGGCTCCTTTGGTCTTTGTTGTGTATCCAATTTTACACAACAAAACAAGATGTTCCCTGGGCTACAACTGACAAAGATAAAAAAAAAAAAAAAGATTGATGATACTTCATGATTTGGTGCTGATAAGGGTTTGGGGTGGGAAATTGGGTATTCGCCTATCCTATTGTGGGAAGTGAAATTGGTACAAGCCCTATGGAAGGCAATCTGGTGATATCAAAAACTTTAAAATGTGTACATCATTTGACCCAGTATTTACATGTCTAGAAATTTATTTAAAAAAATTTTTTTAAAGTTTATTTATTTATTTTGAGAGAGACAGAGACAGCGCAAGTGGGGAAGGGGCAGAGAGAGAGAAGGAGAGAGAGAATCCCAAGCAGGCTCTGCACTTCTAGTGCAGAGCGGGATGCAGGGCTCAGACCCACAAAACTGCGAGACTGACCTGAGCCGAAACCAAGAGTCTGACACTTAACCCACTGAGCCACCCAAGTGCCCCATCTGTTAAGGAAATAACA